TCACGCTTTATTGCAAAGATCCTGCGCCTTCAAGCTGTGGCATTTATTCCTTGGCAATGACAACGAGAATGTTTCGCTGCGGCAGCAGCTGCAGACGCGCGCACTCGCCTAATATAAGTATTTTCCAACTTAGTCGGCCAGCAATAACACAGACCAGGCTTAATACACTTTTACAAGCTTGTACTTTTTTTTTACTATCTTTCCACTTTCTCTAAGCCACGCGTAAAGCAAGGGGGTTTTGTCGTAATAAACAGTAGGTAAGTGCGTTTGCGCGCTTGTAATTTCCCTTTAATATTATAAATAATAAATTAAATTGTACAGGCACTTGTTTCTCAAGTTTCGAAAATCTAAAGGAGCAAAGTAATTCTGAGAAGCTTAAAAATTTAAAAATTTTCAACTTCCACATGGATAAATATTCCACTTGCTGCCAACATTTTGCTATGGAGAAATTTGACAATAAATACCGAAAGTTTTTGCGCAATTACACTTATCAGTTCAAGAAAGTGCTGCTGTCGTTTCTTAAAATCGCATAAGACTAGCGGCCCAGGCATCTCCCCTTGGCTAACAAAAATAATCATATATCAGCGTTCGCTCCACACCACTTGACTCCTACGGCTTTCCTCTCATGGCAGTGACACACCTCAGCAGGTATAAATGAGTGGCGAAAAGAAAAACTTGCTGCATTCTTTTACAGGCCGAGTGCGGTGGAAAGTGTGCGGCACTTTTGTAAGCAAAAAACTCGCTCATGATTTATTGTATAAAGTTTTTTGACTTTGCACAGTTCGTGCCCTCGCACGCTTCTTTATCGCATACTTTTGAGCTGCAGCACGTCTGTCGCTTTGTTTTTGCCAATTCTCCTTCACCGTTACTTACAACTACTTTTTCATTTGCGTTCGTCGATTGTACTAGCATAGGTATGAGTGCCTATATCTAAGCATGCAAAGTTGGAAGAACGCTCGCACATACGCATGCACGCGCACAAACATTGGTTCAAATAACTTGATGCACTTGATTTTCCCACTTGCTGCGAACGCAATTTGCAACGTTTCAATTGAACACAAATCGCACGTGAACCCAATCGAATTGTTGGAAAGATTCGACACTTTTGAGCGTTGCATAAATGCGCTTTTAAAGCGAAATTTATAAAAACATTCAATTTGCCTTCAATGTGTGAATTTAGTTTAACTGCAGAGCGCAGACAACACATGGCTCACTATATCTGAAAACCTGGATTTTCATATATAAATTTTATAAGTGACAAATAACTCAAAAAAATATATGATGAAAAACTAGATGATGTGCCTAGACGGATGATGCCAGGCAATAGAATAACTTTCATACGAAGAATCTTTTTGCTATTTTTTGAAGACTTCTGATTCAGCTATAATTTTAAATCCACTGTTGCCTGATTTCCGTTCTACAGACGCGTACATAATTGTCCACTAAACGCATTGATTCTTCCAATAAAAGAACCTAACACGAAGCGTTATCATTAAATCGAGCTCAGCCCAATTTGAAAACTTCTGTGAATTATGCGTTGTATCCTCTTCATTAGGAAACAAAGTACCTTTGGAATTTGCAACATTAAATCACACCTGATAAATCTGTTGTGCTTTCACTTGTGCGTGCCATGCACAAACATAAATAAGCCAACATCGACAACAAGGAAAACATTTATTCGCATTAGCGCGTAAAACAGCAATTCCGAAAATGCACATACATCCGTGAGCGTACTTGTGTTTGTGTGGAGAATAGGCTTAAAAGACTTATGTATGAAATGCTTAAGCATTAAAACTTGCCACAGAACGTGGCACACATGACTCCAATCTACATACAAACGCGCTCAAATATATATAATCTTACACACACGGAGGGGAAACTTTTGTTGAGCAACTCTTGCCAAATGAGCAAAGGTATTGGTGCACAGAAGGTTTGGCATACATTTTACACCTACAATTGTACCAATGTGAGCGTGCCGCGCAGGGCGTAGTTTCCGAATTTACACGAGTGCACTTCGTGGTTGCTAGCAATAATTACAACCTGATTTATTCTGTGTAACGTTAACACAGCTGACACAGTGAAGTTAGTTAGTGGCAATCGAAGATATGTTTTGCAGGTATGCTATTCTGCATATAATAGATGTAAAATGGATATGTTTCCAGTTTATTTCCTACAGGGCCATTTTTTCGGTCAGTGTTGAACGAAATTGGTCACAAAACCAAAAAATTAAATATTGTAGGCGTGTACTGAAATAACGCAAGTGTGTGCTCTAAACTATCCCTAATGAAAACCTGAACCCTGTTCATTTATATCGGTCTTGTTGCCGCTTATTGTTACCAACTCTTACTTCACCTGCTGTCAGTGTAAGAATTCGTTAGAAAGAAATTCACATAAATACTGCTTCGATCTGTACACGAAACGACAAATCGTTAACCTTAACCACAACCTTTTAATACACTTTACTCGTATTTATATATGTATATCTATATGTATGTTCAGTCGGTAGTATCCCGGGTTCAAAAAAAATTTATTTTTTTTAATTTTACATTTTTTAATAGAAAAATCTTTAAGAAATATACTGTACAATTTCCAAACCGAAATTTTCAATATTTTCGAAGTTATAGCCACAAATTAAGAGCGCGCCGTAGTGCGCTTGAAAGTAGTGACTACGTCAGCGGCAACTGTTCTGTAAGGTCCCTCTTCCATTGTCTTTCCGACCTTTAGTATTCAAAGACACGCAGGTATATTTATTAAATCAAGCGTTTTCGATTGACAAAGACGCATTATAAGAAAAGGAGAAAGAAATATTACTGTATGCACCTGGCATAGCTGATTGATATATGTAAGTTTTATTTGTTGTCAGAACTTTGAAAGCGTTTTTTTTAAAACTATGTTTTTAAAATTTCGGGGAAACACTGATTTACAACAATTTAACCGATTTGGCTAAAAATTTAACTCGTTATTCTAGCTAAATACTTAACCTTTGAAACATTAATTTTTTGTTAATCTATTAATTTTTTTTATTATTAATTATTAAGAGAAATTAGTAAACGACATGTCTTTAAGTATCGACGATCTGCTGTGCTTGTGCTCATACCTGAATTTACCGCGTGCCTAGAAAGATAATGAGCCCTTGTATTAAAGAACGTGTGTGAAATAAATTCCTTTTATTGCTTTCAGTTCGCACACTCATTATCTACAATTACTATCAGAAAGACATGAGCACCGTTAGCTTTTCCACTGCCATCTAACTGAATCAGTTGTTACATTACATACACGCCAAATAGCACGAATTCGCTTGCCGAGCAGTATATCGCCTTACGGCAGGCAGCGATTTATGGTATGCAATTAATTCGTTGAAATTGTGTTTCTCCAATTGTCTGTCTTTAGCGAAGTGAAGCAATAAGCTTGAGAATTGCATTAAGATATGTGAAGACCGACCGCAACAGTGGGGTCTGCACAAGAAATTCGTTGCACGATCCTATATCTATGTGGCGTTGTACATGCCCTGAGCAGATATAATTCGTAAGCAGTGATTTTGAACCTGTTTTGCTGCACGAAGTGCAAGTGCCACATGTTAGGTGCTAGTGTCTGTAAGTGTGTGTGTGTTGGCGCGCCAATGCTTAATAAATTTAAATTGAATGTAAATAGATTTTTGCACATTTCCACCCTTTTACAGTTATCTTCTGCATAAGCTTTTTCTTCAAGCTTATTTCTTTTCTCAATTCAACGCGCTGAAAGTGGAGCAAGCGCATTTCCGTTGCTCCACCCTAGATCTTTATCGTATTAGTGAGCGATGAGCGCGTTGAATGCTACTTCTGACAGACTACCTGCTGACTAACTGATGGATTGGGGCGTATACTGAGAAAGTGATTCATTGAATGGCCTCCGCTTTACTCCTACGTGGACTTACTACGAACTGCTTGACTGCTGGACTGCTGAAATGTGAGAAGACGCCAACATCGTTGTGCTCTCATATATCCTTTTGAAAGCTTGTATCTTCCCCTCTACATATATATATATGTATATTGCTGGCATATATGTATGGGACTTTGAGAATTTACTGCTCCGCTAGTTGGCTAATTTCATTTTCCGATTTCGTATTTATTTCTGCAGATTGCAAGTTGCAACATGCAATAAACTCAACGCCCGTTACATTACCTATGATGTGACCCTTTAAGGCACGTTCACTGATTAGCTGCTTTAGTGTACTGGCATAAGTCAAAAACATACAAAGATGAAGCGATATTTGCAATCAGGAGAAAAGTAAGACCTTGCGCCAAAATTGGCATTATACAATACTTTTCTCCAGCTTTAAAAAAAAACGAAAAAGCGCTAAAGCCTTCTTGTTACTTTAATACAAAAACAAACACAGTTTTTGCTACCCTGGCAAACTTAACAAATTTCGATGCTAATTTCAGACTATTTACCGAAAATATGCGAACAATTTTGCGAAAGGTTTTAAGGTTTCACTGAAAATCAAACGTGGAGATATCTAGAATTAGAGTCTACAAAATGTCCTGTTTTATTCAATTAAAATCGCGCTTTCGCATCAAAAGTAATGCGTACGGACTACGCAGAAACAGTGATATTGCCAATTACGCAGATATCGTTGTAGTCTACCAATGGATATGAATAGGAGATTCTTTACTTTTGATGTTGCAATTTATTGATTATGCTTAACGGTGGTAATGTGAAACGGATTAAGCAAAGCACCAACTTTTATTTAGTATTGCATAAGTTTCGGCTCAAATATGGATTAACTGTATACGTGACAAATGAAGGTGGATTAGTGAGGGCGAAATATTTTACAAGAAGCAGTCAACAGTTTTAGGCTTGTTAATATTTTAGTAATCACGCGATTATGAAACTTTACTTTTGTACATATGCGACAGCTCTTGCCGCTCGACAGCATATAACAAGGGAATTGTTATTAGCACTGCTCCCACACAAGTACTTCGACATTGACCAAAGTAATGGAGAGTTAAAACCATCGCTGCTTCCGAGCTTGTATTTATTTTGCCTTTTATTATGTCACATATTGTATAGGCGACCATTAGGTGTAGTAAATTTAGACAGAACGTGTTACGTGTAATTGAGAACGTTATAGAATTTAGTGTCGAAACCGAAAAATGAAAACACAAAGACCTGGCATTTTTACGACGAGTTTGTGCATAAGACAAAATGGTATAACCGACAGCTGCCACGAGAATCACACGCACTGGCTCCTAAAAAAAAGACAACATTAGCATTACGACACCATAATAAAGGAAGTAATTTAACCGTGTTACACTAATGGAACACCATAAGTCGCCGTTTGCTGCGACACAATGAAGTCAGCGGTTGTGTCAGCTCCTCTCAATGAGACACCCGTAATTTTTCATTCAGCATACTTGTTGTAACGGTTTTCAGAAGTTGGCTGAAAAGCCAGTGGCAAAGACCTGGAATATTTAACTGCTGGCTTGAGAATGCTTAATGCAACGACAATTAATACCATATACAAGTAAGTATTCACGATGTAAAGGCGTCATTCTCGCAATGTGTGAGAATATGGTTCATAATACTATTTTCTTACTGCTACGCCTTTGCAACAATTTCAAAAGTATGAACGGCAAAATGGCTTTTCCCGCTCAATAAAATTATGCTTGTATAAAATTATAAATGGAAAAGGATATAAACACAATGTGACGCAAAAATACTGGGTGTTTGAATAAAGATTTCCCTTGATCGCTTTTAGTCCCGCTAAGTGCGTCTATTTTATTTAGTTCAAGTGGGTTTTCAAATTCGAACAAAATGGGCGCTAGAAGAATTTATTTATTCTTTTTACTTACTTAAACTCGCTGGTATTCAATCTATGTTTACCATTTTCCAAATTATCATACAGAAATTGGCAATCAGTAGCAGGTGTTTGTATTTCTACCTAAACGGTGCCGAAGAAATAGGCAGCAAAGCCAATGCCATCAATACTATTTGAAGTTGTGCTAAAATTAGCATATGACTAGAGTGTGATCTTCAAATGGTCTATTGTGTTATGACAAGTGTCCAAATGCCAATCGCAGCAATGACAACAGCACTAAGAACCTAGCAACACATATACACACATACTTACACATCAAGAATTTGGCAGCTAAAACGTCAATTTTAGCATTTTTGTACAATTCGCTTCCAACTTGCTTGTGTACAGAAGTCTACTGACAGAACAGTTGCTATACAAGTGCGAGGCAAGTGAAGCAGAGATGCATGTGTTGGAAAAATTATTATATATTTTTAAGAAAAATAGTTACAATAGTATATTATGCGCGACTACCAAAGAATCTGCGAATTCTTCAGGCGTTTAGCAATAATCTTCATTGCGTAATGCTAACATTCTTCATCTGCAATTTTTTTGGTTGTCCAGGTAATTTTTCCGGATCCAAGCCAAAATCACCACTTTAAAATCGTGCGAATCACTTTTGGCACGTTCACCGTAAACTTCCATCATATTAAGCGGCTATACTGGTGTAGACTCCTAAATTTTAGTTATTTTTCGGGCTAAGATAAAAAAAGGAAAACAAATTTTACCATCCCTTTTTGTATATGATTTTTATTGGCATTTAAAGAATATTAAAAAAAAAAAGCAATATAAAATATTAACACGTAAGGAAGGGCTAAGTTCGGATGTAACCGAACATTTTATACTCTCGCAAAGTCAAATGGTATACTCGTTTGAGATTTCTTTGTGGATTGACTGATATTTTCGGTAGAAGGTCAACTATAGGCACTGGGGTCCACATATTTAGTACTTAGGGGTTTGAACAGTTTTGGTTCGATTTAGACAATTTTTTGCAAAAATTTGCATAGTGGAAAGTGAAAGAATCAGATGGAATTGAAAATGGTGTTACATGGGAAGTAAGCGTGATTGTAGTCCGATTTCGCCTATTTTCGCACTATGACATAAAAACATGAAAAGAACGTTATGCACCGAATTTGGTTGAAATCGGTTGAGCAGATCTCAAGATATGGGTTTTCACCTAAAAGTGGGCTGTGCCACGCCCACTGACTAATTTTGAACGCGGTTCCTATAAAGCCAATTTATACCATCTCAGAGATAAGATTTAATGTCTCTGGCGTGTTTAGTGCTTGATTTATCGCGCTTTTAGTAGTTTTTAACAGTACCGTTATTGGCGGAGTGGGCGGAGTTGCCACCCGATTTCAACTATTTCCACACCTTCAATAGAAGTGCTAAAAACATTTGCTTCCAGTGAATTTTGTTATTATAGCATTAGCGGTTTAGGAGATATGCACATTAAACCTATTAGAGGCGGGACCACGCCCACTTTTTAAAAAAAAGTTTTAACTGCAGATGCCCCTCCCTAATGTGATCCTGTGTACCAAATAACAGTCTTGTATCTTATTGCGGAGCTTAGTTATGGCAAGTTATTTGTTTTTGATTAATGGCGTTTTGTGGGCGTGGCAGTGGTCCGATTACGCCCATCTGCAATACCAACCGTCTCACGGTACCAAGAAACATGTCTACCAAGTTTCATAAAGATATCTCAATTTTTACTCAAGTTAGAGCTTGCACGGACGGACGGACGGACGGACGGACAGACAGTCACCCGGATTTCAACTCGTCTCTTCATCCTGATCATTTATATATATATAACCCTATACCTAACTCGATTAGTTTTAGGTGATACAAACAACCGTTAGGTGAACAAAACTATTATACTCTGTAGCAACAGGTTGCGAGAGTATAAAGAATCGTTGAACTACAGGTCGGTGGATTAACGGTGCTACCTGGTTGACATGATTCCAGCCCTTCTCGAGATCTAAAACAAATAAATCGAAAAATTCTTCATTTGTAAAGATGACCCTATCGGATTGATTCGGATTGAAAGAAAAAAAATCACGATATGGCGTCGACTTGAAAAAAATAATTTTTATGCACTTTTTTTGACTCTTTCAAGTTTTTTAAACATACTTAATATTAAAATTTTTTAAAATGCGAGGCTGGCGTGATAGAGAGCTGTATAACAAAGATTTCTGTTAAATTTCAAAAGGTATCGGTTAAGTAGAACTTGAGATATCATATCAACCAACTTAAAAAAAGTAGTTACAAAAACGCGTTTAAACTTTCGTCGTTCGTTAAACCAGTCCAGTTGCCACGACTCTACGGCTATAACTATATATACGTATTTTTTTTAAAATACTACAGTGGTAGAACTGTATGCAGGCGCTACAAAAGTCAAATGTGGCAAAAACACTTACACTTTTTGCGGTTTGTTGTACAATCTGAGCTAGGAGATTCTCACAACAATATGTATTGTCTATGGTATCCAGGGAAATGAAAGTAACAGGCCTCCTTCACTCAGTTTTATCGTATCAATTAATAAGTATAAATAATTAAGGCATACCACTTATATATGTAGTGAGGTTTTTTCAGAATATGCACATGCATATGTATATGTACATATGCAACATGTCATATCCCGTGCTGACTGTCATAAGTTATGTTACGGTATTTTATTGTTTTGCATGTCCGACATATTTTACATACAACGAAACTTTTACCTCAGTTAGAGCACCAAACACACATACATATGTAGCAAAATACACATAAACCATATTATATACGATATTTACCGTAAATGCCATACATTTATTTTGAATCAATAAATAAAAAGCATTATTCCAGCACAGCAATTATTTTGCTTATTTGTTAGCCATATTGCTGCTGATGACATTAACTATGCCGTTTTTATATTCTCTTTTCAAATGTATGTTAAGCATTATTGTGCAGCTTGGCAGCCACTCGCTGCCCATATGTGTGTGCGTGCGTGTTATGCAGCAGTTTTTACCTGCCACTATACAATCCTCACACATGTAACTCATAAATTATCGCCGTCGCATTGTTGTAAGTCAAAAGGCTTAACAATAATAACTACAACAACAACGACACCAATAGCGAAATAAGAAATCAGCGTGAAGCAGAAAACTGCAGCCAAAGAGAGCACAAATTACAAATACGAATATTTATTGCTATCAAGCCGCGGGCGTAATCCATAGTATATGTGTAGGCGTGTGTGCATAACAGTTGAAGGAGGTGAAAGGCGGAATATGGGATAGAAGAGAAAGAGAATTATGCTTATTTGAAGTGCTTGTAGGTTGTTATGTAATTGTGCGAGAGAACATCAATAAATTATATGAAGCTTTATAAATATAAAAATTATTAGACCGGGTCAAAAATGATTTAGGGCGACTGTCTGCCCGTCCATTCGACCGTGTAAGCGATAACTAGAGCAAAATTAAGACAGTTTGCTGAAACTAGGTACCATATCAGCACCCGAAAATATTGTGTTCGCTATCCCGCATATACCTAATCTAAGAATTTCAAACTCTCTTTTGGCTTTATACCGTACCTATCAGTCAATATGTAAGATAGAGTACCAAACGTAAATGTACGATAACGGATAAACTGTAGCTTAAAGCACAAAATGGGTGTAATCGGTCCACACATTATCCCAGCTCCCGTACACTATACATATATGTAATTATTTTCGTTATTTTGGCAGATTTTATTCTAAATATATTGCACAATGCGTGAAAATATTTTTTAAATTATATTAATATCTGCTCGGTCCTTGTCCAGTCCCAATATACCTATATAGTGAATTTCGACAATGGCCCGGAATGTTTGTACGATACTTAGGATACTCCTGAGTGAGTAGTGGACCAAGAATATTATTGCAACACCACTCGTGCGACTTTCTAATGATCGATATCACTGGCCGATATATAATCGGCTGCCTATTAGGGTGAGTTAGCAGTTCAGCATGGATATCATCATTAAAATAAAAACAGATGTGTTAAAATTTAAACATTTACGTATTTGAAACCCAACTTTTCGACCTTCTCTTTTATTATATGTTAAAATGTCTGTACATAATATAAATTACGTTAATAATTTGAGAGTTGTTACAGAAGTATTCGCCGCTTTGTATCTAACTTGTACATACTGTATTCATGTACTTATATTATCTATGCGTGACAAGTTTATTATATTGCAATGATTTATGCACAAATTTACTACATTATCCATAAAAAAATATTTCCTTAATAAATCCCACATATGAATATAATTATCCATTATAAACCACTTATATATTATTGTATACATACATACATACATATATGCTTGTACCTAAAAGTAAAAATTTAATAAAAAAAATAATACCAATATATAGCCACCATATACCTAATACAAAAATTTTCGCACTTCCGGCTGACTTTATACCACACATATCGGTCAATATGTGAGTTATCTTGATTAAATTGAATGAGCCTGTTGTTCTCTTAACGGTGTATCTCTGTGCTTAAAATGAATAAAATCGGGTGTAAACTTGCCCTAGCTCCCATATAACTAATATCAGGGTTATCATACATCCGGTTGACTTTACTAACTAAATATTGTTAGCGGTATGTCAGGTACTCAAATGAAACTCAGAAGGCATCTAATTCTGTAATGTAAAGTAGTGTTGCCAACAATAGATAAATCCGAAATAAAATACAATTATTATATTATTAAAAATCATATTATATTATTGGTTTAGCGCTGAACATGAATGGAGTTGGTCTAGACCTTGGTCTTAATCTTATATATCTAATATCATCAATTGCGAGCTTCTGTTTGACGTTTTGCACATCAATTAAATATATTAATTTTAGCCTCTTCGTTTAAGTTAAGATCAGAAATATCTCATTTGTGTATGATTTTATAATAAAGTAATTTTCGTCGAATAATAAATATTGAATTCTTTCGCAACATTGCTTCTTGGAAATTGCAAGGGTATGACATGTTCGGTTACATCCGAACTTAGCGATTCTTTACTTGTTTTATTCTTGAATTAATATTTTATTTTGTCGTAAACGATTATAATCATCTGTTGTGTTATTTGAATATACGGCCGCCACTCAATAGTACTAAAATTGTATGCTTCCCATGGTCAGTCTACTAAAAAAATGGCTGAAATTTGCAGCATTTTTTTATTTAAAAATAAATAGAGAAACTTTTCCAAAAAAGTGTAAAAAAAGAAGTTCTAAATAGAAATCCGTTATTATTTAATATATAAAAAAAAGCATTGTGAAATGATAAAACAATAATACATATATACCATGATACAACCAAACAATTAAGAAACGTATTTTACTAATAAAACATTGTGAAATTAAATAGCAAACAGTAATTTATACTATATTGTTGACTCAACCAAAAGATAATTGCAATAGTACTTGATATCACTGCATATATATATAACTGAAAATAGATCGTCTTCAGGTGTGATGATAAGATAAAACACGTAGTAATGGTCAATCATAAGTACCGGAAAATTAAATCAGCAATAAACAAGTAAGGAATGGCTAAGTTCGTGTGCAGCCGACCAGTTTATAATCTGGTAATTGGTTAGGCCCAGAAGCAGTTTCCTTCAGTTTCTTTAGTTAACCTCCTCAGAGTGTTAGGGAATACGTTTACCAAGTTTATCAAACTATCTCAATTGTTGCTCAAGTTATCGCTTATACGGACAAATGGACGGACAAACAGTCACCGCAATTCAACTCTGCTCGTCATCCGGAGATATATATACATAACTCTATAAGTATATCCATTTCGATTAGGTGTTACCAACAACAAAACTATTATGCTCTGTGGAACATGTTGCGAGAGTATAAAAAAATAAATTAGTAAAACTAAAAACTATTACAAATTTATATTTGACAGTTTTTAAGTAAAGGGTGTTTTGTTTAGACATTTGGGTTTTAAGAAGAAATAAGATTTAATTTAATGTTATAATTAAGAAGTTATCTTTATTATAAACATTAGGGCTAGCCATTATGTTTTAAAAACTAATTCGAGCAAGAAATCGCAATTCGGGTCATATGTCAGCAATATCGTGCTGTATAGTTTCTTCGAAGCCGTCAGTGGTCGCGCGCTTATCAGCGGTTGTGAATCGCACGATCTTGGCGCGCACACCGCATGCGTACGACGCGATAGAGTGCGCTCACCAAAAGCTGGCCGACTTTATTTTTGTAGAAATATGGCCAATGATTCCTTCAGCCCATATTTTTTGATAAGTTAATCTAACTTATATGCATAGACTTTCCATACGCTTATTGTACCGAAGGTAGTAAGGAGGTTATCGTACTTTCTGTTACTGCTATATTAATACTTTAATAAAATTTTATGACAAAGACAATTTGAAGATATACAAGTATTTGGACATAGTAGATCTGCTCTGTCCGAGCGAATACGTTTTACTTTTGCATTTATTTCTTCTTTATTTCGCTCGGAACCAATTTTTTCAGGCACAAACTTTAAATTAGCATATTCCCAACTTCTAAGCTATTCAAAGCTGATAATTCGTTAGTTGGTAAATCGTTAAAACACCTAGCTATGAACATACTTTTTGCTCTATCACAGTAGTGTGGTATATTTTGTCTCAAAAGAGATTTTGTTGCGCGCAGAAAATGTAGTATTTTTTCGCAATGAATAAAATGAACTTTTTAGGCAACGACACAAAACAAACATTTGATGTTACCAAGTAACAAAAAAATTATCAAGCTTTGCCAAGCGGGTACTTCGTTACTCGGTAGAACGATAGTTCGTTAATTTTACAAAAAAAAATGTGGAAAACGGTTGGCCTCAAGGGCCATCCCTGCAACTTCCCGCTAATTTCATACGCTAACGTTCAAATTTCGCTTTTTTCACTGCTTTTGAGCTCTTCGAAATTTTTCGTTTTCAATATCTCGCAAGTAAATCAACCGATTTCGACCCGGTTTGCGGCAAACGATGTGTTTTTTCAAGGTTTAGAACTGATTAGTTTTTGGTGTCGATCGGTCAAGTCGAACGAAAAACGATTTTTCAAAATTTTTATTTTTGAGATTTCTCAAAATCAACTGGTCCGATTGGGTCCAAACTCACACGAAATTCAAGCGCAATGAAACCCTTTGGAATGCCGTTTAGTTTATTCAAATCGGTTGAGCCGTTTAAAAGTTATAAGAGGGTCACATACATCCACACACATACATCCACACATACATACAGACATACGGACATCATCGTAGAAATGTTCGGGGAAGTTTCCTCGACCCTCAAAACGTCGAGATCTGTTGAGAACTCGATTTTTGCAAAATGGGGTGAAACCAATATCTTCCCGATTTTTAGAAAATTTTCAATTTTCTTAGCGGGAAGTTAAAAATGTACGTAAAAAACTATCGAATATCGACTAACGAATTGACAAAGCTGGTCTGAATACACCTAATATAATATATTTTAGAAATTACATTTTCAGAAACTAATTATTTTAAAAAGTACTACAGCAAAAAACATCTAATCAATATTTCTAGTAAAGTACACAATTATTTAGTACATAGCTAGGTTACACCCGCTACTATCAGCGTATGTCAAATATAATATAACAATACGATTAAGGCCTCTCTTGTAATCCTCACTCTCTGAGCTCATTTAACACGCTATTAAATCTTAGACACTCATAAGATCAGTCCTGAATGTGTGTGGAACACAACGGCATAATTACACGTGGAACGTAAGTATATACCAATATTTGTATTTGCACTTTTGAAGTTAAATAGTTTACGTTATCGCTTATCAACGAATGCTCATGTGCATTAATGTTTAGGAAATTATTGTTTGTAAGTTACTAGTAAAATTATAATTTACGTTCAGTTAAGTTTTAGAATGCTTTCAATTCACGTTGTATTCAAGCGCAATTAAACGGAAACGAGTAATAAAGCATGACCGGAAACTCCGATGACTTCAATGCCGATGAGCTGCAGACGCCCGAATGGATGAACACAGATTTTTTCTTGAAAGTGCTAAAGAACTGTGAGCAGAAAACAAGCAAAATAGAAATTGTGAATGTGAGCATTTCACCAGCTTCCATGAAGGGTGATCACTATGCGAGCGTGATATTTCGTGCGCTGCTGGAATTTCAAGTGAACGGTGTTCGCAAAACCAAATCTGTGATTTTGAAAACTATGCCAGAAAGCGATGGACATAAGAAGGAGATGCTAGGCAAGACGGATATTTTTGAAAAGGAAATAAACATGTATACTAAGGTTCTACCGCGCTTCGAAAAGATCTTGCGCGACTCTGGTGATAATACAGTGCTGAAAGTACCGTTAGTATTTCACAATGAACAAACTTGTTCGATTTCACATACAACTAAATGAACAAATAATTTCAGGTGTTTATACAGCGCTTTGATGCCTAAGAAAGTAATTGTTTTTGAAGACCTAGTGTCCGCCGGCTATGAGGTAGTGCGTGATCGAACTCTGAACGAAAAAGAAGTGAAAGCAGCCTATGCTATGTTGGCCAAGTGGCATGCCATCAGTTACAAAATCAATCTAGAGGTTCTTCTAATACTAGAAAATTTGCAAAGGCTTATTAAATATATTTTCCAATTTATTTGCAGGAGCCGCAGTATTTTGACGAATTTCAGAGGGGCGTATTCAACATGTCCAACATAGCCAATGAGCCATTTATGACTAGCGGTATAATAAATTTCGTAGATCTACTGAGAAAAACACCTTCTTTACACGCTTATTTGCCATATTTTGAGCAATTGAAACCCAAGCTCCTGGAAAGTTGTCGCGAATCTTATGCCGAGTACCGTGAATCGCCGAAAGAGGGCGCATGCTATGTTCTTTCTCATGGTGATTTTCATGGCAAAAATATGATGTTTAAACATCAAAATGAAAGTGATGAAATGGTGAATGTTATGCTTTTGGATTTCCAAATTTGTTACGTGGGTCCGAATGTCAATGATTTGATATATTCCATTTACTGTTTATTAGATGAAAACTTACGCTTAGATTTTCCAGCACTGTTGTACTACTATTATACTATTTTCAAAGATACTTTAGCCAATATCGGTTTTAAGGGCACTTCACCGACACTTATGCAGATAAGACACCAGTACATGCGCCATAAAAATTTGGGTAAGTGCCGAGCACTAAAACGCCTTTTCAAATTGTTCACATATGAACGTCATACTATTTTTACTAGAACTTTTCCTTTTGGTGACATTTTTGCCTTTGTGGTACGCATTGAATGAAAAGGCTGACATGGAAGACATGATGACATCCGACGAATATCGGCGCTCTCTGTACAACTCTAAGGATTATATAAAATATTTGGAGCACGTTTTACCACGTTACCTGCATTTAGGCTATTTGGAGGAATAATTGTCATGACAACAATAAAAACCAAATTACTACAAATTTATAGCAATCATTATAATTATGATGTATATTTTCAAATTGAGTTCATGTTATTTTTCATTTGAATCATTTGAAGTCGAAATTAGTCACTTGTAGTGAGTGTTGAGTGTCAGGTTCTAGGATTGGAAAAATGCTTTTCTCTTTTCAAGAAGCTGCTCGTTTGTCGGAACAGCCAATATCGGACCACTATATCTGACCAATCAAATGCAAGTTCTGAGTATGGAATACTTTTTTATTTATGAAAGCTATTCTTATTTCGGTACAATTGAAGTTAACTTGTCTTGTCTTGTGTGTATATAGGACGAATGCGTATTTGAAAAAGAAAAAAAAAATTAAATAAATTTTATTTACCTACAAGTATAATAATTATGAAATAATTTTAGCAAACAAGTGAATTGATTCTATCAGGAAAATATCAAAGAAGCCTAATTAGCGAAAGTAATCTGTAATCAATGAAATAATCTTTACTTTTTATTTTATACTTAAATGCATATTTTAAATGTTTATTATAAGATAAAGTTCAACTGTAATGTTATTGGAAAGTACAGTTAATAATGGTCTTTGCTTTCTTTGTATCTGTATCTGTGCGCTCGAATAGTTATGGTTCCATTTGATTATTTGTTCATTGAAGTTTGTAAGCAATGAGACACAGATCTTCCGTGAATATAGAGAGCTTCTAGAAATTTGCAATTCGACACGGAATTGAAGTTCCTGAATTGTCACCGACACTCTCATGCACTGCTGCGATATTGTCATTTGAACGACTTGTGTTTGGACGACCAGTGTGTTTGTAGTCTCCAACGAATTCTATCTTCCCGAATTTTTCAATTAATCTCTTCACAATTGACAAAGTTAAAACACTCTTCCGTCCATATTTCGTATGAAATTTTCGAACTTTCATAATTTTTGAAATGTTGTTCAACAATGAAGATACGTTGTTCTATCTTGTAATGCTTCCTTTTTAGTTTTATACCATAGTTTTGTTCACCTAATGATTATTTGTATCACCTAAAACTAATCGAGATAGAATGGCGGCAAATTTAAATATTGTCTAAATTTTGCCAAATTCCATACTTTTGTTAAGGAATATATGGAATGTTTAACACTTCCATGACACAAGTGATTGAAAAATAAGTATTTTTTTTAGCAATCAGTTCATCATTTAGGCACAAAGTCTACCATACACGTAGCGCAGTTGTATTCTAAATAATGATTAAATGCGTTGCTGCTTGACACAACCTAAACTGTGTTTGAAATAATTACCGCATTTTGTTTTTGTTGAATAATCTTATTTTCTCTATGCTAACGTCGTATGCAAACTAGATAGGAAGCATATAGTTAGAAACACGCCTGGGCACCCCGTCTTTTTATTGTAGAATAATTACTGTCATATATAAACTAATTAAAGATCTATCATAACTGCCATGTATACACACGTGTATATGTAAATTTGTCAGAATAATCTAGCTAGCCCACAATAATAAAAGTAAAATCCCCACATTTCATTTGATTGCCGACCGAAGAGAAATTTAGTTAATTAAATGTTTATTTAATTTAGTTATTTAAATATTTGCAACACATTGCGGTAATAACTATCTAAAACCCGACTTTACAAATAATATATAGTGGCATAATCCGATATATGCTTTTAAGTTTACAAGTAGTTGCAATACTCAGAGAGGCCCATCGGATAGCTGTGCAAACGGTACTCGAACTCAATATTTATATATACCAAGCACTTTAGCGATAAATTAAAAACTATACCCATTTCAGCGTATTTACATAAGTATAATATATCACTTAAGGTTGTGATAACCGCACCAAAAAAAAACAAAAACAAAACGAAAAAGCACCTAACTACTTTTAATGTCTCTATTTCCACTTCATTACATAGAATGTTTAGAGTAATTATCATATGTAATTATAAAATCTTGTTTGGTCATTTGAGAGAAACTGCATTCAGCGCTCTGTGTTTTAGTATTTAAAGCACTGTTCGTTTAACTGCAGATCACAAAGTACGCAGAGCGGTCGACAACTAAACACTGGCTAGCAATTTTTGACAATATGAGACCTAAAGCCGAAGACTACAATGAAGATGAGCTGCAGCCGCCAAAATGGTTGGATAGTGAGTTTTTTACAAAAGTACTGCAGAATTGCGAGCGAAATGCAAATGATCTGGAGTTGAAAAATTTCAAAATCAGTCCCGCCACTGTTAAGGGTGACCACTATGCCAGCATAATGTTTCGTGCATTTGTGGAGTATCGGTTAGAGGGTGCAGAGAAAAGCAAATCGATGATTATCAAAACAATGCCAGAAGTCGAAGGCTTCAAAAAAAATATGTTGAAGAAGTATGACATATTCGAAATCGAGATTGGTATGTATACACGTGTACTGCCACGCTTTGAAAAACAACTGCGAGATATTGGTGATAACACAACGCTAAAAGCCCCGTAAGTACATATGGATATAGTAAAACATAAGGGAGTTAGAATTTATTTTACGCTTCTAAGAGTGCTTTACCATGCATTGTCGCCACACAAGCTCATCGTTTTCGAGGATATCGTGCCATTGGGTTACAATGTATTGCGTGGACGTTTTGCGAATGAGGAAGAAGTGAAAGCCGCTTACGCCAAAATAGCCAAATGGCATGCGATCAGCCACAAAATAATAAAAGAGGTAACTGCTGAAGACAAACTTGAATTTGATCTGATAATTCTGCTTACAAAACGACATTTAGGAGCCACACTACTTCGATGAATACCGCACCAGTTTCTTCTCGCGGGATATTAGGAATAATCCGTTTTTCTTAAACGGAACGAAAAAATTTATGGCTTTCATGCGAAAAACACCAGAATTAAAGGAATATTTGCCGACTTTCGAAAAACTTTATGAAAAAGTGGATCTGCTAGACGCGGCAGTTTCTTCCTATACAGAATATTGGGTTTCGCCGCTTGATGACGCTTATTATGTGCTCAATCATGGTGATTACCATATGAAGAATATGATGTTCAAGCATAATCCAGATACCGGAAGATTTGAGGACGTTATGCTCTTGGACTATCAATTTTCTCATGTTGGTCCAATAACGAGTGATTTGATATACTCCAAATTTATGTTATTGGATGGTAAGTTGCGTCCGCGAACAGCTGAATTGCTGCATTACTATTTCACGATTTTCAAGGAAACTCTTGAGAAAATAGGATATGATGGCCCCTCACCGACTTTGGTCAAATTTCGGCAGAACTTGTTCCGTCACAGATTTACAGGTAAGTGCGCAAAACTTCCAAGGTTTTCGCTTAGATCGCCAATCGTACTTAGATCGACAATCGTTGTATGCACGCTTTTTATTTTCTTTTGAAAGAACTGCTGATGATGACCACCTTCCTTCCGATGTGGCCCAAATTTTGTCGAGGAGAGCTTTCACAAGAAATGATGCTAAGCGACAACGAGTGCGCTCTTAAAATGTATGACAAAGAATATCTCGACGAGTTGCTGCAGATTATTCCGAACTATTTGCATTTGGGTTATCTCGATATTTAATACAAATTTTAAATTGTAAGCTTCTTAAAGGTGATAAATATGTCCATGATTTAAGTGTAAATCAGTGTTAGCTTTATTAAGGCATGCATTGTAAGCAATAAAGTTCGTGAGGCAAAAAATATTAAAAAAAAAAAACTTGACATAAACCAATTAAGTACCAAATTTTGTAATATATAGTATTATATATTACCGATTAATAATATTTGAAAGCGGCACATTTGCGTTTGGACATAACTGATGTAAAGAGTAGCCCAGAATGAAAGCTTTTGAAATTCAAGCGATTAGAAAAACAAGCTGTGATACCATTATGGTTCGAACCCTAGTTAGTTTGACACGAAGTTTGTAACGCCTAGAAGGAGACGTAACAAAGTCCGAGACGTAACAAAGTATACTTATGTATTAATAAATGATCAGCGTGACGAGCTCAGTCGACGAACTAGTCGTTCAGTTTTTGCGATATCGATCTGAAGTTTTGGGTAATTCTGCTTTTTTGCAAGAAGCTACCCTTTTGTCGGAACTCGACATCGGTGCTCTCTATAGCATATAGCTGCTATTTAAACGGACCCATCAAAAACTAATTCTTGTATAGAAAACTTTTTTAATTGACGTCAAAACGTCATCACGCAGTTCGATACAAATTATTGCCCGCTGCAATCTGCCTCATATGTATTATAGTTATGGTACAGCTGAAGTTAACGTTTTATTCTTATTTTATAAACAATTCAACCATCACTTGAACATTGATTTTATAGCACTTTTTGGTCTAGACCTCTATGAGTGATATACATTGCGATACTAAGTAAGAGGTACTTGTCAGTTTTAATAAAGCCACTGAAGTAAAATTAGAAACGCAACATTAATCATGATCTGGAACACTTGGTCCTTACCTTACTATTCAGCGCACTATAATTATTAAAATTCTTCACCGCAAGCACCATAAGGAATAACGGTAAGCTGCGCTCAAGCAATCTTCTATTTACTACCCAATTTCCTTTAGCTAGTAATGAAAACTCCTAAGAAAATTGTCTGCGCTGAATGCGGCGAAATAAGTAAACAGTTTGTTACGCTTGTTAAGGCAAGGTGCAACATTTAACGCCTGCTGTGGAAGACAAGCACATCCGGCGGACAGGTACTCGCAGAATAATACAATATAAACAAGCAAAAAAACAGCGCAAGCTATACACCACAAGTAATGTAATACCTTAAACTTCGCTCATTACGTTTGCAGGTGAATTTTTTTTTTTAGTTTTTCATTTTATCTTTATAACTAAGAAAACTACAAACCAAGCAAATATAATACAATTGTTTTTAGCCTTCCGTGCACCCACTATTCCCACCGTGGCCGAGAAAGTTGCAGCCACCTATTTCAGTATGCGTGGTATCTTAACTTTGCTACCGGAAGTGGCACCAGAAGATTTATCTTTGGCAATATGGATGTGTATACTTATGAGCTCGTGCAACGGTATTCAAGCAACCGCCGTAGTTGAGTGGCTATGGCGTTAGGTGCAACCATTGTTACAGACAACAAGATTGATTATGCCCCAAAGTTGCTTTCAACATATCAGCGCTTCAGCTCTTGAAAACGAAGCTGCAGCTAAAGCGTAACAGAAACTCAACATGTGCATTAATGAAAAGGGTAGAAAAACGCAAAAGAAAATGACAGCTATGTAGGTATAAGAACTATTTTCACACAAGAGATACATACATACTCCTTGTAAGAAGATACACAATGAAAACGGAAGTTAAGACACGCCGTAGATGCGATATATCTATTTCGCTTTATTGTTATAGAATTAAGGCTAAATAAATATAAATAGATGGAAATAACAGTTTAAAGTGTATGTGTAAACCAAATTTAAAATATAACTGAATATATTCCGACTTTGTTGTTTTTGTTTATGTATTTTCAAGTGCTTTGCCCACATTGTTTCAAAAGATCATTTAAGTACGGCAGCTTAAAAAATAATTTTGAAAAACCGCAACTTGTTTGCTCGTTGCAGAAAAGCCAATGCTTTGAATACTACAGTTTAAAGGTCTTTGTAAACTTTCTTTGCTTTACTCTGCAGCTGCTGGGAGAACCAATGCTATTGCTTGAAAATCAATTTGAAATGCAAACGCTTTTTGTTTGGAGCGTCGATTTGTTTGATTACTCGTTTACGTAGTCGTTTGGAGACAGCATTGGCTGATGAATCGCCACTAGCATAATGCAATTAGAATTGCTTTAATTGGAATGTTTAACAAAGATAAATCGAAAATCAAAATTAAATTAATTCGCTTGAGTGTTGTGAATCGGTTGACTGCTTGGTGTCCCTTCCGTGGTTATACGCCTGCTAATTCTTTATCTGTCTGGCTTGTGGCTTGTTGATTTCTCAAATTAATTTCTATACAAAGACTTGAAACCCAAATAGAAAGTGTGGATGACTGAATTGACAAGTAGATCATAGAATGAGGTGTGAATAGAGGCAATCAATAAGAGAGAGGCGGCGGTGAAGAGCCAAGTAATTACATTTCTGTGTTTGAGAAAAATAATAAAATTAATTTGTGGTTTAATTAGCAATAAAATCAATAAGCATCATACGCATCTATTAAAATAATGCTAATTAATGTCAATTGCTATTAAACATGCACATCATTTGCGCAAAATAATTAAATTTCTCCTGCCCTATCAAACTTTAAACAAGTTATTAAAGCCTTCAACTAAGAAATTGTGCAGTTCATGGCTTCACTTTAAAAAAATCAGTCCTCTTTTACATCATTAGCTTGCAAAAAAAAAAAAACGGCCCCATTTTTATACACTTGCAACTAACCGAGGTATGGTCCCCATGGTCCTCACAAAATTAATTTCGTTATTCTAGTTGAGTTTATCATAGATATGTATCTCTGCTGAATATGTAATAACTGGTATTGTATTTTAGTGGCGAGCACGTGTCGCTTCGGTGAGTGATGAATGAATTACCCGAGCCTCCTTATGCTATTTGCTGTTCGATATTCTATAAGTTGCTTTTGGTTCTTTACTTCCTCCTTTATAAACTCTATAAATATATAGAGATGCGTTTTGAAACTTGAATGAAGTTGTGTTAACAATCCTGTGTATATCTGCTGTACATACACATTTACACGCGTGTGCCACACGATTCCACGCAAAACCAATGACACAAGTGAGTTTGAAATTTTTCACTGTCAAAACTTTAGTAATTGAATTCCCGCCGTTAAATGCTTAGACTACGCTGAAACTAACCCATACTGTACGAATACAGGTGGCCACTTCCGTACATATGGGTAGGTGTGTGCGTTGTTGCAGCATGCAGTGATGTCGTTGCTAAAGTAGCGGCTTCGCATTTTTGCAGGAGCAAAAAGTTATATTGATGATTTTGTCTGCAGTCAGGAATGTGAACTCGAAAGGGCGCAAAGCGGGTGGCAGTGAGCTGACGCAAATAGTTTGAATTTAAAAGCTCAATCGCGCATTTTACACGCGCAAATGCCACTTCTCATGGTGACAGCAAAAAATGAGTTGCATTTTCTACGTATTTCCAAAGAGTAGCGAAAAATAGTCAAAATTAAAATTGAAATCTTATAAAAAAAAATGCAAAACTAACACACATTCAAGTAATGACAATAACAGAATTTTTTTTAATAATTTGTCATTACTTGAGTATCTAAAGAAGTGTTCGCCGTCATCTGTGCCATTGTTAGCATGTCTTCAATTTTTTCTTCAATGGCCACGACGTAGCGGTGCATTGCAGAGCAAATACGCGCGATTTTGACACTCTTACTATTTGCGTCCAAAGCCTTCTATTGCTTTTTTTGTATTAATTTCTACTTTAGTTATATTTTTAGAGCTGTGCAACTGATTTTATTTTCACTGCAGCAGATTCGATTATAATATGAATTATTGACAGCGTTATTACTGAGATTGAAAATGTGTCAAGAACTTTTTGGTCAGCAAGTTGTGTGCAGAAATTTGTGTGGCTAAAAGATTTTATGCAGAAAAATTTAACTGACACAATTATTGCACAAGCTGCAAATGCTGAGGGATAACGAAATGATATTGTTCTTACATTTGTATTATAATTACAAAATTTCAACGTACTGGACTAAATAACAAGTAAACAGCAAACTATTCCTAAAACAATATTAATGATGCCTTAGTAATGGCCATCAAAAATATATATTTCCAAGTTTCATTTCCATTATTTAAGTAGTAAATACTTTTCGGTTTCTTAAATTCAATTATAGTGCTTTTAATAATAAAAAAAATTGTTTTAAATGACATGCTTCTGAAGTTATAAATATGCATTGAGTCGTCCAAATTAGGTTTAACTGCGTTACAAAAATATGTGTATTTTGTGCGCTATTTTCGTTGAACACTGTTTGATTTATATCTTAGCTTAGCACAATATATACTATAACTCTGTGCCTAACTACTTAATGTGTTTGTTCACATACGTACATTATCAATTATTACTAGCTGCGTTCGATTCGCCATTTCTCTGCCGCTATCTTTGCGCGATGCTCTTTTGTCGAAAAAAAAAAAAATGTAGCTGTTATATACAGTTAGTAGAAAGAAAAAAAGTGAAATTTCCAAAAGTGTTTCTGAGAAAACTTTTAAATTTATTGATACAAAAATTTATACACATATTATGGTATCTTTTAACTATATTTTAAGATTTAGTACTAGTAAAAATATTTTTTTGGAAAAGAGCTACAGCTGATCTCAGGGAGCTCCTCTCAAAAAAGGCGTTTTGCGGTGACCACTATATCTCTGAACTGAATTCTCTGAAATTGAAAAACCAAACAGATTTGGTTAGAATAATGTTAAATCTAGTAATTAATCGAAGGAATAAGCAAAATAAAATTTTTTTACTAATTGACGGTTTCTAAAAAACGAAAATGACGATTTTGCACCGATATTTCGGCCTTAAATTGTTTATAAAGACAAAAATATTTATCGGGGTAAAATCTTCGATTAACTACTAAAAAAAATATTTAAGAAGCTCGTGTTAAAATTTTAAACAAATCGGTTTAGCGTTTTCGGGTAGTGTTGGTCACCGAGTGTGAAAATACCATTCTGAGAAAAACGCGTTTAAAGTTTAGTCAGGTAGTTGCTGCCGCTCCGGTCTTGTACTTCCAAGCACTCTTAAATATATGTACAATACATTAAGAAAAAAATATATAAAAAAAATCGATTTTTCGAAAATTCTAACCGTATGTAACCCCGTAAAAGACACAACAAAGAGGCACAACACGATTGCAACGCAAGTGCAGCCAGTTTTTTTTAAATTATTGGTATTGCTTGTTCGATTGACTACTCTCCTAAAAAGCGAATATAGCTCTAATTCTATTGCCGCTTAAGTAGCAGAAATGTTATAGTAACGAGCTTCAGTGTAACAGTTCATTACGAAGTCTGCAGCAAAAGATGTTAATGTCACTCTTTGGCGCTTTTATGCTAGATAACTCTCACGAAAGTACAATACTTGTATTTCCTTATCAAATTTGTTGTATCAGTTAGCTTAGTAGTAGACTAGTTCGCAAAAAAAGCAAAAAAGCTTTCGCTCTCAGCACGAGCAACTTGAGAATTTCTCATATTTTCAGTATTCACTCGACGCTCCGCACAACTTAGAGAGAGAGTCATACCTTTAATTCGCCTCAAAAGCGTTATTGCAGTTATTGTTCTATAGATAGATAAATGTATTTTATTACAAACGAAGAGCTCTTACCAATGTGTGAGCGGACAATTG